AATAACAATCCGGATGTGTCCAGCCACACCTGCCAACAAAATTTTTCAACATTTTTAAGAGGCTTTAACCCATCAACAATAAGGATCTCATTGTATTCTATTCTTTGCTTTTGACATTGTCTTTGCCATAAAATACTGTAGTTTGAAAAAAAGCACACAAATGGAAAAATACTACTGCAAATTAAAAAATTAGACCTGTGTTCATTCCCTACATTGTCATGCCTTCTCTCTAGAGCACAATACCCGCTTATAATTTATTTTTTAGTATGACACATATCATCAATGACATTATTGAATGCCATGCATTCATGAAATCACCAATAATTTTTTGTAGAAACGTGAGCATTATATTTCATTCAATAGAAAATTATACAGAAATCCTGTCTGGGTTATTAATTCATAGACTCCCAAGAATCCTGTCAAATACTGTATCTACGGTATTTTACCGTTGATCTTCTCGCAGACACATAAAATCAGCAATGTGAATGCACATAACTGCACGTAAAAAGTTAACGTGCTGAATTTTTGCGAATTTTGAAGACGTTATGGGACAATTTTCATTAGTTGAGGATCACGCCATTATTAGTACTACTTAATACTCTAAATATGAAGGAATTTTCTTCATACTTTCGAATGTTCACGGTAATCGTCATTTGGAAATTTTTCAATGGTCAGAGTTGTACTACAACAAATTTTCAGCCAGGCAAGACACCAGCTGCATGAAGCTTGCATGAATACATTAAACAAAGATTTAAGAACATCAACAATTCAAATGAATGCTGTAAACCTTCCTTCTAAAAATGAAACAGTATTCATGACGTCTAGAAGAACATGAGGCCACCCAAGAAGTTGCGCGCAGAAGGACGAACAAGACATTTTTGTAACATTGGTATGTCGCTAATTTTATTTCTTCGTGGATGTGATCAAGTCTTGAGAGGCTGCAAAAACTTATCAAGAGCGTCTTTAGTTCACGGAGAGCCTTTTCCGCATTTGAACCGTACGTGTTGTAATAAATTTTCACTGACATAAACAAGGGGTGTGTATCTTGCAGTATATATATTTATTTTATTTGAAGCAATAAATCATCCACTTCTGCTTCCATATATTCAGGGGCGTCTCGCCTGATTTTGAATATGATCTGGATAAATGGATTGAATAATTCAAAAAATTCATTTTCTCTTTGCATGCTCTTTGTATGAAGCCTTAGATTGCAGCTTCTTAAATAATATCGTGTTTGAACAGATTTCCTAGTCCCGTTTGAGTTTTGACCAATAAAGTGGCTGATCTTTATTTTCTTTTTTTTTGGAACTGCGGAAAGCATCAAATGCGTTTATTCGATATTTTCTCGAGGAGGAATTCAGCAGCAGATAAGTAGGACTATCCGAAAAAAAGACGCAAGTTTATTTTTTGAATCACGCGTGAATTTTTACAACTTTTTTGACGAATTCATTATTCTTGGTTCATTGAATTTTTTTCATTATATCCATGTCATAGAAACGTGAATTTTAATTTTTTTAAATTCAGAAAAAACTCACGGTCAGTTTTGGTTAATACAGTGGAAGGTGTTGAAAAAATGTGAATCATGCCCAGTTCTTCTTTTGTGAACAAAGTGTGAGATGCCAAGAAAATCGCCTGCTGACAAGTACTTGGGCGAATCCCTAAAGTTTCCCCTCATACCTTCTTTGGATATGCTATACGTACAAGGGGAGTACTTATTGTGCAAACATATGATGATTCAATGATACTTGAATAAAACTTGAATAAAACTTCGTGGGATTCCGGAGCATTGTTTCAATTATCATAGTCTATAAACGGCTTATGATGAATAGCAATTGTCACGTTGCCTTCACAGAGAATGAGGAATGAATGATTTTGATTCGGCGTTTATTGAGCTGTAGAAAAAATGTGGTCTTTTCCCCTCGTTCTTCGGAGTTCTATGGCAAAATTTCTTAGATTTCACAATTTTCAACCAAGGACAACAAAAAAACAAGACTTAATGCTCAAATGTCAATGATCGACCTTTTACTGAGTTTTTCCCATCGACCATTTACAGGAGTGGCGCCAAAAGGTCAAGAATGGATTATTGATAAAATTTGATTTATTAATGCAATAAAATCTCATTACAACGAAGCCATTGGGGCCAGTAAAAAAGTTTCAATGTAATGAAAAAGTCATTATACACTAAAGCTCATTTGAAAAGCTCATTCAACATCGTGGCTATTGTTCTGGGACCTAACAAAATGACTTCGTTGTATGCGATTATGCGTCATAAAGATTTTTGTTGTAAAAATATTTTACTATATACAGTTGAGTCTGAATAACTTGAACCGCTTCAAGTCAAAAGACTCCCTGTGTCGAATTTCTTTCAAGTCCGTGTCCGGATTCCCTTATATACAAGCAATGCATCAAAAACATATCTAATTCAAAGGCTTTCCCCTTCAAACCTTTATACAATACAGTAATTCGAATTCTCTGGAGGCTTTCTGGCTACTACAATATTTTATTGACACAGGAAAGAGAAAGCAATATAAGCATGCAAATTGATGTGTTTTGGAAGAAAGTTATAGTCTTATTGGGTAAATGAAGCCCTGCCCCAGCAATTAAGTTCAATATACTTTCAACAAAGAATAATCAGAAGAAAGTTAAGGCCCATAATATCACCAATTACAATCTCCTGTAATTCTTCTTGCTTTCCATAGTAAAAATGTGTTTTTCTTTCACGCAAAACCTTCCAAACTCAAATTTATTTTTTGCTGGTCCCTTCAAATTCTGTACAGTATATGTATGGATCTATTGTACTATGGAACTGGCTCGATATAATATAAATATCCCTTCGATGATATGGTCGACAGGATCGGAAAGCTGATTTCGACACACCCGAAAAAGATTTTCCTGGCAACATTGCTATGCATAGCAGCCGTGACACCGGGGCTCCGGATGAAAAAGGAAATGGGCATGGACACTGTCGAAGCCTGGATGCCCGAGGACCACATGTTCCGCAAAATGGCCCATTGGATAGCCGAAAATTTCGACGACGGCAAACTGCGTTACGAGACCTTCATCCTCGCAAAGCCGAACGGGAACGTGCTGACCGTGGACACGTTGCGCAAGGCATGCGAATCTTGGTCCTTCTTATATATTTCCAAGCCTTTGTTTGGGTCAAAGCATTGTGTTCACTGAAGACTCGAACCTTTCAACAACTCTATTGAGGAGGGACAATTACTTGTGTCACAGCATTCAAGAGCCCCCAAATAGAGTGAAAACTACGTTCTCCCATACTACTACTGCTTCATCTTTAGGCTATAGAATATGATATACGGCGATTGCTGCTGGACAATTAAGCTGCGCGGAAAATTTAATATATTACTAAAGGTATTCGACGAAATTCAAGCGACGAGAAAAAATCTGCCGTAGAGAGAATGTTGTTAGAGAACCCCTATGATATGGGAAAAGGAGCCTATATGGGACCCGAAAAATGCGTTATGCTGTACAGAGAAAAACGTTGTAGTCAATATTGATCTATATTACAGAAAGAGTCCACCTGTATTTGAAAATGTTATTAAACAGGCCCAAAAAGTTTAAAACTAACACAATGTCAGTTTTGCTTGAGATCCTGACGCAAGTTGAGCGTCATATTTTGATTTATTTTTTGACAACAATGAAGAACAACCCAACAATCAGTGATCACAATTTAAAGCACAAGGTATTCACCCTGTTCACAGATAATTAAAATTTGATTGAACAACTTAGAAAGAATCTTTGAGGAGAAATCCTATAAGGATGACACGTTTTCCTGGTATTCTCTGAGATTTCAGAAAAAGGACATCTTCATTAAAGTGAGAGCATCCCAAGTCTTTTAAAATTTTGGATGGGATGGTGTGGAATGCTGGCATAAGAAAATAAGATTTTGAGTGATGCCCGAACATCTTCTATTATATGAGAAGCATCATATACAGTACAAGATAATTATAGGCAATCAGAGGCAAAAGACAGATAGATGAAACTTTATTTAAAAAAGAAGTGACGCTAGTATAATTAGGAGGTTTGGTGAGTGTGGTCGATTGAATTTCTAATTATTCGAATGAAGGTCCACAGAATATAAGGCATACTTGTACATACCTTTGAAAGACAGGGAATTTCGCAAATTTCTTTAAAAAAAAAACAAACAGTTATGGCTTTTCCCAACGAATGACGGATCTTCAAATCTGACCGCATGTAAGATTTTTCGAGATTCCGTGGATTTTTTACACCTCGAAGCAAAAAATTTAAATTTCAGCTTCACGAAAATCGAATGGCATTCGCATATCTTATTCAAAAGACCTAAAATTTTCAATAATCACGTGCCATTATGCCACTTCTGGTACTACCTGCACCTGCTTGACATTCTAGGAAGCAACGTTGGACCTTGGAATGGAAAGAACCTTCCTTTTTTCGTTCATCAACTATCCCAACCGTGTAATTTTTTTTCTCATGAAGAATCACCATGACGTAAAACTTTCTTCTGTGATATTCCTACGCTACCGAGACAACGAAAAATGTAAATATCATGATGTGTGTGTGTTCAAATGAAGGCAAACACCTGCAACTTGCGGAAGACTTACTTACTTCGTTATGCTTACTTACAGTTTAGTGGGATTATAGGTCAGGACTGTTGCATCATTCCTTGAGTGGAATTGAGCAAAGGGCTCATGAAGCAATGTTCGGGACTTTAAAAGCACTCCATATTCCTTAGCGGGGATTTCAGGAACGTGATGAAAGCCTTTGCATGGCAATATTTCTTTCTTCGCGTGCAAGGAAAGTCCCGAGTCATGTTCTTTTCTGTGCATTTCCCTGCAAAAACAAAAAAGGAACATCATTCTCACCGGAACTTTGAAATTTACTACGCGTAAAATATAAAAATAAATTCAACGAAACTATATGCGCAAAAATGGCATCTGATTAAAGTAACAATTTGCTGGTTCCACAGATCGCTGAGATAGAGAAAAGGCTGCAGGCCATCAATGCTTCCGGTGTTTCATGGGAAACTGTTTGTGCAAGGTGAGTTCATTTTTGTTATTTTCTTCGTTTTTCTTGAAACTGCAGTTTAAAGAAGCAGTTTCAGTGAAGCCACAACACATTTCTACGCGACATTAAATTATTAAACAGACTACACGCATTGTCTCGCTTTCTTTTAATTTTATTTTCCACGGTGTCGCTTGTTGGTGAGCAATGGATGCAAATTTATTCTTATCGCTCGACGTTACTGCATTTACTTGGAAAAAATCTGAGAGCAAAATCTTGATTCGGATTGTGAAAACCGAGTACAGTTTTACGGAGGATTCAGTCTTTGGATATAACCTGAAACATTTGTACTTTTATTTGGTCATGATATCTTCCTTATGATTTATTTTCCCGTGAGCTTTGTTAAAGACTTCAATGACGTCCATCCATAAACTGCATAAATGGAATGACATTCTATTGTGCTCATCCGAAGTTCCAGATATCGCGTCAGAAAAGGGATTATCGTCTTCTTTTTTTTGTAAAAAGAGATGCAATCGAACCTATGAAAACTGCTTCATTTCTTTAAAATATAATTTTCAAGTGCTTCAATCCTGTCATATATTTCAAATTAGTTTAGTCGACATTTTTCAAAAATTTCGATATTTTCATCCAGGAGGACGATTTTTAGCCACGTGCGCTAATACGCACGGCAAAATTCTAAAATATTTTTGGAAATTTCATCGGCTTTAGGTATTTTTGGAGAATTTGTCCTACTAAAAAGGGTTACATTTTAAATTTTGATCATTTTGGTCATTCTCATTATGAAGTACTGTACAAGAAAATTACCTAGAAAGGATTTATTACGATTCTAAGGTACCCCTGAATGAATCAATGATATAATTTAAATCATTAATCTCTCTTTTTGTATCCCTACAATTCATTTGAAAACTTTTGATGACATTTCTGCATCTGGTCATAGGCAGTGACATCTATAATGCAGAATCAAGAGAAATTCGATACCAGATTATCACATTTTGTTTCTCAAAGTGCTTGGGCACTTATCTCAAGTTATGTGCTTACGGAACTGAACCCGAAAATAAATAATGCTCTGCTTGGGTCAGACTTCGTAAATTTCGCGGAAAATTTGAGTCAAAAGCACGCAGAAGTATTTTCAAAGTGTCATCAAGACGGTCAATAAAAATGCATTCCTGCACAATTTTCTTAAAATTTGAATCCGCCGCTTTTTTTAGGTTTGAAATATTTCATTTTGTTCGAAATGCGTTGGATAAAATAAATCTCTGTATGAAGTAAAGATGCGCTTAAATTGAAATAATCTGATCTTCGTCTGAAAATATATGTGGGTTAGAGATGGGCATTTAAACTTCACTGAAGCAAGCTTCGAGCTTATAGCGATGCACTTCTTAGCACATTAGATAATAAATGCGGACTACATTTGCGATAATTCTGTCTCCACTCGCCAGTGGCATATACTCAGAGCAGAAAGACTTTTTTTAATAGCTTGCTCTAGCAAAAAATTGCCTTGATGCATTTGCAGTTCCTTTGCGATCGATATCCTCTAAAGACGAAAAAATCCATCGACCCCTTAATATACTGCTGTTGATTTAATGAGGTAATCGCATAATTGCGTCAAATGCTTCAACGTCACGTAGCTTTGACTCAGGCCACTGTCTTTTTTAGTAATCGACCCGTCGGTCCATGAATTTCGCTTCATTTTCCCTACCCTGTCTTGAAACTTAGAATTGATCTTTGAATGAGAGGGAGTTGCGAACATGATTTAGAACCCTCTTTTTTACGCGTAAATGGGACAATTGAGTTATTGCTTCAATATTGTCGAAAGGAGAACGAATTATAAGGTCTTGATCAATCTCATCAGAAGTTTTTGCTCCAATCGCTTTACAGTCGGGACGACGGTAGCAGACGATGACGGCACTCCGTTGACGCTGACGACACGGGTCCAGCGCTTGTCGACAGCAGCTCTCACCTTCCTGACGAGAATCGTCAACACGCATGGGCCTGAACTGAAGGCCTCCGACCAAGTGCGAAGATGGTCATTCATATTTTGAATCATTAAGTTTTATTATTCCGGGATTGGTACTTCGTATATTAAAGTTCTAGAATAATACGAGACAAAGTATCGACTTAATTGCAGTCGGGGACTTAAGAAGTTTTCGCAAAATGGTGCTTTGATGCAGTATTAAATAATATGTACAGTATTTCATTCACGCCATTTTTAAAACAAATTAAAAAATGGCGTGAATGAATGCACTAGGCAAAGTTTTTGGCATCCAGTCACTGACTTCTATTCTGAAATCAAAGAAAACATTTCGAATGACTGCGAAACATTAAAATTTAAATTATTTTTTAAGAAATGGACTACGCAAAAATCTGAAAAACGGGCATCTTCTCGCGGACTTCAATCAATTCCCATCTACAGGATATCCTCAAAAATTAGCGAAAAATCCTAACCATCAATAAAGTATTGTTTCAACGAATGCTGATTTTTTGGGGGTTTTAGATTCACGGAACCGGCAGAAAATAAGCAAGAGCCAAATAAGACAGAACAAAAACAAACGACTGTTCAACAGCAAGAAGATGCTGATTTTTCGGCTTTCGGTGACGTTATCGAAGCCCTAGAAAACGACGTTTTCGATGACGATATTCTTGAAGACCGTTGCCTGGTTTCTTCCATCCTGAAATTGTGGGATTTCGGAGAAACATTTGATAGCGTCACTGACGAGGACGTTGTGCGAAAAATTGATGACGCTTATCATCGCAGGTTTGAAGAAGTTTCACGCATAGATTTTTATTGGATTGCTGATGAAACGAAACTTCATGTTTCTTTAATTTAGGATCAAAACTCCGAGCAGCATCCACGACGTTAAGCTGATTGTTTCAGGATTCAAATTCGACTCGACCGGGAAGATAGTCGGAGCAAATGCGTTGATGTCTTCTTACCTGTTGAAGGATGATGCTACAGTTATACCCGGGGAATTCATGCTGGTGAGAAGTCAGCTGGAACATGCTTAGGAATATTCATTACTTCATTAGAAATCATAGCCAGATTTTTATTTTTGAATAATATGTGCTGATAACCAGGAAATCTTTTTTTTATTTTCAGCGAGATGAGAGAGCTGAGCTCTGGGAAAACGAGTTTATCGACATTCTTCAAAGAGCAGGAGAAGAAATGAATGGAAAAGAGGAAGTCGTTGTTTCGCAATTTGCCGGAAGAAGGTTCACAAATTACATTATTTTGTCAAGAATTGCCTTAGAAATAAATAATGTTTAATAAGTCACCCTACTCTATTTGGTTTTTTACAGTTTTGCGGATGGGATGGAGAAAGTTAAGACTGAAAACATAAATTTTCTTTTTGCTGGTTTCGCCATTATCGCTGTCTTCGTCTGCGTCACTTTCGGACCAATGAATTTGCTGGAGAATAGGGTAAAGATTCACGGATTTTTGAATTGGAGTATCGCAAATGATTCTTACATTTTTGATTTCTGAATTTGAAGGTTTATTTGGCGATTGCTGCAATGGGACTGGTTGGCCTCTCCATTCACACGACCTTCAGCATTGCAATGTTAATTGGACTTGAGTTCAGTGTTTTGCACAGCACAGTCCCATTTTTATTGCTTGGTGTGGGTATCGATGATGCCTACGTCATTCTACAGGTAAATTTTGCAGTTGAATTTCAGGCTTTTGCTGTGATTTTCCAGAACTTCGTCAGCTTTTAAACCCCTTGTGAAAGGGCCGTCCATAAGTTACTATATGCATTCTAAAATGTGTATTTTGACGAATAAATTTTCCAACTTTGTTCATTCAAGTGAAGAATTGTTTTAGGATACATATACTGTATTTCATTGCCAAAATGTTTTATGTCACACGCAATAAATGCTTTCAATTTCCGAATGATTCTTATTGGCTCCTTTTGGATGCGCAAGAGTATTCCATGAAGGTTGCTTGGTTTTTGCGCAAAATATATTTGAATAATTTTTCTGCCTGCGGAAGTTTTTCCTAAGATGTATATACGTATTCATCTCCAGTTTTGATGACCTTCGGTAAGAATTTCCCCACGATATGAAAGTCGCCGAACTTTTTAAAGATGAATTCATATTAAAAAGTTTGGGTAACTTAGTATACGTTATTCTTTAAGAATCCCATGACGAAATTTCACTCAATTTGATTGATTTTTTCACAGACACTGGATAATTTGCGAGGAACAATGCCTCCAGAATCGTCGATCAGCCAATTTATTGCAAAGGCTTTATCGCGATCTGGAGTTTCCATCACTGTGACTTCATTGACTGACATTTTTGCCTTCGCCATTGGGGCAACAGCGGTAAGTCACGTCGTGATCAGCTATGTCAATAATCAGGAATAATTGACTCATGCATCTAAAAAAACAAAAAAGTATTTCAGCATTATGATTTTAAAACACGTGTTTCCAAGCGACCAATCGTCCATTTACTTGATTTGATTTACTGTATATTTTTCTGTTCGTTTCAGCCGGTGCCGGTGATGCGATCGTTTTGTTTATACTGCTCGATCGGAATCTTTGTGGTATACATTTTACAATTGGGGTATTTCCTGCCTTTGGTATATTTTGATGAAATGAGACGAGCAGCCAACAGGAACGGGTTGTGGTTCAGCAAACTGTCAGACAACTACAAAGCTTGGAAAATCTGCAATGGGGACAATGGACCTTTGGATTATTTATTTGTGAAATTGGGCAACTTTTTGTCTACTACTTCCGGAAAGGTATGGCATTGTGAGATTACAGAATATAATTTCGAACAAAAATTACACCGATTTTAAAAGTGTAACCTGTGCTGAATTCTCGGAGGTTTTATCTTTAAAAAGCGGGCGATTTCTGGATTTTAGAAGCAAAGATCCAATTTCAAACTGATATTTACAGATGGAAATTTAGTCCACTGGCCTTTTCTTTTCTGGCGGCTTTATTGCAGTCATTTTATCTTGATAAAAGTGAAAACATTAATTGATTTATGTTACAACAACTCTTGCAACAATGAGCAGTTTTTGACAGAAACGAATGCTGTTGATCGGGAAGAGACGACTCAATCTCTCAAATCATTTTTTTATTAGAGGTTTTGAACTTTTGAAATTCAAATGATAAAAAGTCACAAGTGCTAAGTTACTTGACGCATCTGTCATTCGTATACAGTATTCATTAATAAATGTTCATGATACAAATATTCCAGTGAAAACCTAGACGAAACGGTTTATTTATTTGTGTGCTGCCGAATGAACTTTAATTTTCTCGAGGCGTTAGTTTTAGTCTTAAACCGTTGCTCATACATCACTGTTGAAAAAAATCGGTAGATTTTTCGTCCACATAGGTGATACTCGATTAGTGACATTTTTTTTCAAGTGTGTTTTCCTTTTTTGCACCGAAGATATTGGCACTGTCTGCTGGAGTGGTTCTTCTCGCAGTCAACAGCTACGGAGCTTCGCAAATCGATCACAATTTCGACCGATATTGGTACTTGGCAGATGGCTCGTATCAAAAACAATTCCTTCTCGACCTCAGCAATTATTTCCCGGATTCCAGCTTCAAGGCAGAGCTTTACATCGGTAAGCCGAGATAGCCAATTTTGTGAGATTCTCTTCGTGGAGAAAATTATTTTCATAAACTTGAATGTTTCTTCAGGAAGTATCGATTATTACAAAGAAAGAACGCGACTTGAGGTTCTGTATGAAAACCTTGCTGATATTTCTTCCGTGCAACGGGAATCTGTGCAATTCTGGCATCACGACTTCCTCGAATGGCTGAAAGACTCTAAAAGCGAGTTGCTTTTTGATTATTATGAAGAAGTTGTCAACAATAAAAAAGCCAGAAATATTCATTGTTTTATCATTCCAATTTAGAGCCTTATCCGACGGATGAAGAAGAATTCAAGGATGAGCTGAGAACGTTCCTGGTAAACACTAAAGATGGAATAATTTACCTCAACGACATCCGATACAAAGGAAACATCCTCGGGGAGTACAACATAACGGTGTGATGATGGAATTATTTCCTAAAATAACTGCGCTTGAAATTGATTCAAAAAGTATTTTTCTTAAAGGCCTCGAGAATTTCTTACCGAACTGTGGAAATGCACAATGGTACTGCGAAGTACAAAACCTTAGATGACCTGATTGGCATTGTTGAACACACGAAGTTTGCTACTGGCGATAAATTCATCGGATTTGCTTCGGTCGAACTGCAATCATGGACTGTCAACAGGGTATTTATCGATCCATTAGAATACAGTATTATTGCCTGAAGATATATTTTCCTCGGTTTCGAAGAAAATGAAAAAGACTGCATAGGTAACGATACTGTCACCAAAAAAATGAAGTAGGATCAGAATTCACACGAGGAAAATTATTCTCACGGCATCTTCGCTGACCCTTGGTTTTTCTAGTCCCTGTACTTTTCATATTTATTTTATGTGAGAGACAAAACTAGCATAAAAAAATTTGCCACTTCGTTCTCAAATATTTTCAGACACTTCTAATTCAACGAAGTGTTGTGCCTCATCCTGTTGCATCAGAAGAGAAACGTGACGGCCTTGAATTAGTTGAAGGTTTTCTATTGAACTGAGGTTTTGCTGTTCTTCCTGGAATTCCAGGCAGATGTCACTTAAATCTGGATAATTGATCTGGCCAAGAATTGAGTAGCTATAATTGTAAAATAATATAATCTGACCTATCTCAGCTTAAGCTTTTAGTATGCGACTTTACCCAACTCACTTTTCTATTGAATTTATATTTTTCTATCATATTTAGGTTTTATGTGGAATTGACGTCTTGTTGTTCTTCCTGGAATTCTAGGCAGATGTCACTTGAATCGGGACATTTGATCTGGCCAAGAATTGTGTAGCTATAGTCGTAAAATAATCTGACGTAACTCAGGTCTCAGGTCAAACTAACGTATGTGACTTGACCCAACTCACTTGTAATTGAAGTGAAAGAAAAAAATGAGGCAGCACTCATACACAGTGAAAGAGGAAACCAGTTATTTTGAGACATGCATTTTGCGATGAAAATATTATTATTATTTAATGTTTCAAGGCAAACGGCTGATGAGAACTCTTCCTCAGAGTACTTTTTGTGAATGTAAAGTGCTTGAAAAGTACAGTTGCTGATCGAGTTAATTATTCCAGGAAATTATGACATCGTTACCGTACAGTTTGGGACTGACTTTACTGGGAGTTCTCGTCGTCATTTTGCTGATGCTGGGAAACATTCGAGTGTCTTTGCTCAATTTCCTTTGCGTCCTTCTCACACTCGTAAACGTTATTGGCACAATGCACTTCTGGGGCTTGACACTCGAACATATGACGTCTCTGCTCCTCATTATTTCCATCGGTCTCGCGATCGATTATTCCTCGCATATCGGACACAAATTCTTGACCACTTTCGGCGACGGAGACGGTAAGCAAACAATGTTTAGAAAATTTATGATTTTACAGTACCTTGAGAAATTGACTTTGGTTTTCAGAAAGGGCAAGAGAAACCCTTAGGACGATGGGACCAGCAGTTTTCAAGGGCGCTCTGAGCTCATTTTTGGCGTTCGTCTTGTGCTCTTCAACAAGCAGCTACATTTTTATGATTTGGTTCCAGGTAAGCAGTTGCAGCAAAAAATATCAACCATGACAACAATTGGATAATTTTTCTGATACAGCTACAGTATTACTTTTTAGCGAAGAGTAAAGCCCTCTTTTCACTGTATATACGTTAATCAATATCAACATGGAAGTTGAAATATTCGCTTCGAAAAAAAAAGTTAAGAATATATTGTAATGTATGAACACTCTAAATGCGGATTTTTATGCATTTCTGTGAGTTGGAGGAAGAGAAAAATTCCAGATACTGTTACTTTTTGCTGCGTATGTGATGTAAGTTGCATGCATCAATGACAATAAATCCCCAGGTGAAAGACTTAGATTTATGATCGTTATCAGCAATGATTAAAATACTGTAGCTGCAAAAATGTTCAGATTTGAATAGATCTCTGAAGCCAACAGCATTATTCGGCAACACCAAGAAATTTTAATTTAAAAAATACTTTGTTCCACGTTCAGTAAAGTAAGATTCCGAATAAGGTACGAAGAAAATTGTGCATTTTTCCCACGAAGCAAATTTGCATTCGCTGTGAGATTCATTCACTTCTAAAATTGTCAATAGGAAAATGAATCGGATTTGCTCCTCCTTATAATGTATGGATTTAGATGGAGCAGATCATCATTGGATTGCAAATTTCCTGCAGTTGAACCGAATAACTTAGAAGTTATACCGTTTGTAATCTTTACCCTCGAAAATAAATGTTTGCCGCCATCAGCCTAGACCAAGGTCAGACAATGACCTCTTCTTTTCGAAAAAAAACGTCACTTCAAACATTAATATGCATAGTGACCCCTTTTTTCTTATATACATTTTTTTCTTTTTTTTAAATAAAAAAGTGTTATATATAGCTTTCGTTTTCCCTCGTAAAACAAAGTTCATGTACAGCTTTTTATTTTTTCATTGAGAAGTAAACGACACGATTGGGTTTTTAAAAAAATAAATAACCCCTCGACGACTAATTGATGGCCTCTTAGGTAATTACATGCGTGACGGCGTACGGAACCTTCCACGGATGCGTGGTGATGCCTGTGTTGCTGAGCTTGTTGCACCCTCCGGCGATTTCCGTGGATGGGGAAGACGAGTGTGAAGAAGAGAGGGGCAGAGACCCGGACCCGGAAGTCGGTAAAGCCGATAGGTTGCGCCGGAAGCAAGTGAACGAGGTGCTAGCGTTTGTGGACCTGAAATCCTCGCCCGGGGCAGTAACTCCAATCTTACGCCCGCGGATACAAATCAGAGACAGCGTCATCTCTACTGCGTCCATGAACCTTGACAGCCAAGAGCCTGTCTTGATAAACGAGGTGTCTGTTTTACTTGAAAAAAAAATCGATAAGACTTGGCCCTATACACAGCTTCTTTCCTTCTTAAAATATTTATTCTTCTCGGTTTTTTCTTGCTTTTTTATCCCTTTTTCTCGATTTTATTTCAATTATTTCTACTGATTTTATGTGATTTTTTCAATTTTATTTTTTCTCGATTTAAATTTACAGTACAGTATTTATTTTTCAACATTTTCTTTTACATTTTTCCTGATTTTAAAATTTAAATTTTATCGATTTTCTTTTATTGATATTTTGATTTATTTTCTAGATTGCATTTTATTTATTTCCTTGGTTTTATTTCATTTACTTTTCATTACATCATTTGAGTAATCTTTTCTGAATATAATTGTATTTGTTTTTCCTTGATATTATCTAATTTATTTTTCTTCATAACATTTGATTCAACTACTTATTGTATTTTAAATTATTTAGAATATTTAAATTTTAAAATTAAATTTAAGTTTTTTCGATTGAGTTTGATTTATTTTTTTGAGATCATATGCTTCGTTTTTCTTGATATAATTTGATTCGTTTTTCATGTCATTTGATTTTTTATTTGATTTTTCATTTTATTTCCTCATCTTTTGTTGATTTATTTTATTTTATTTTTTTTAATAATGAAGGACAAATTCTCGCTGTCCGAATGGCTCAAGGGGAAAAGAGGAGCCAAGTACCGTTTCGAAGTGTCCCCAAGTTCGTCTCGCACAGACTTGAGCAAACATTCGCCTGCATGCATCAGGGCGAGCGACGGTTCGTGGGAAAATGTCCCAGAGACAGCAACCTCGTCGTCATCCGCGTCCACTGTTGCCTTAGGCTCGTGGACCAACAGTCAAGGCTTGGACAGGGTTGTGTCCCACACGTGTCCTCGTTGCAAGAGCACGGCCATGCTCGCCATACTGCCTGCCGAGGAAAAGAGGTAAAGTGCCGAACATANTTTTTTCTCGATTTAAATTTACAGTACAGTATTTATTTTTCAACATTTTCTTTTACATTTTTCCTGATTTTAAAATTTAAATTTTATCGATTTTCTTTTATTGATATTTTGATTTATTTTCTAGATTTCATTTTATTTATTTCCTTGGTTTTATTTCATTTACTTTTCATTACATCATTTGAGTAATCTTTTCTGAATATAATTTTATTTGTTTTTCCTTGATATTATCTAATTTATTTTTCTTCATATCATTTGATTCATCTTCTTGATTTTTTTTAAGATTTTATTTTTTAAATTTAATTCAAGTTTTCCTCGATTGAATTTGATTTATTTTTCTTGAGATCATATGCTTCCGTTTTTCTTGATCTAATTTGATTCTTTTTTATATTATTTCATTTTTATTTGATTTATTTGATTTTTCATTTCATTTCCTCATCTGTTGTTGATTTTTTTTATTTTTTTTTTAATAATGAAGGACAAATTCTCGCTCTCCGAATGGCTCAAGGGGAAAAGAGGAGCCAAGTACCGTTTCGAAGTGTCCCCAAGTTCGTCTCGCACAGACTTGAGCAAACATTCACCTGCATGCATCAGGGCGAGCGACGGTTCGTGGGAAAATGTCCCACAGACAGCAACCTCGTCGTCATCCGCGTCCACAGTTGCCTTAGGCTCGTGGACCAACAGTCAAGGCTTGGACAGGGTTGTGTCCCACACGTGTCCTCGTTGCAAGAGCACGGCCATGCTCGCCATACTGCCTGCCGAGGAAAAGAGGTAAAGTGCCGAACGCACAGGAGCCATTTGGCTTCTGTTAGTTTATAATGCACAGCACTGTACTGTCGTATTTCCTTAAATTATACTGCAAATGTTAGCCACAGCTGTAGGACCTCATATAACCGTACGTCTAGCACTGTTTAAATATAGTACGTGAAAGCTACACCATTTTTGTTCTATTGGGTTCATAAAGAATTTCCAATAAAACGAATTCTCAATTATAGTATCTTGACGCGACAATACTGATTAGATACGTAAATGTAACTTATGGGGAAAAATAAAATTCGCCGATTCGTTTCGAATCGGCAGGTTTAGTGTACCAATTGTGCTTCATAAAATTATACATATTGAAAAGAATAAATAAAATATGTATAGTAGAATAAATAAAATATATTTAGTAGAATAAATAAAATATATTTAGTAGAATAAATAAAATATATTTAGTAGAATAAATAAAATATATTTAGTAGAATAAATAAAATTAGAATAAAAGAATAAACAAAATAAGTGCCATGGAATAAATACAAATAACCAACACGTCTCTACATTTTCCACGTATTTATTCATTTTTGTGGGCTGAATCCCCTAACATACTGTGCTCGCCAAATGCCTTCGCAGTTTTTACGTGATATATATTTTTTACACGGTACAAATTTCAGATACCGTAATGTCTCCTATTTTTGCCGACTTGGATTTGAAAGATGGAACGGATATTTTCTTGAAGTTGAATAACAGTATTTCAGTTATCCATCAACTTTTTTTTTTACGTTTTTGCGCATTGCAAAACTTTTGATCCGGCCTTATTTTCTTCAGCCCCGAGGGTAAAGACGAAGGCAACGGTCGAGAAACAACCAACACAGCGGATGATAACAAAACTTCGCGCATCTGCCGCAGTCACATAGTAAAGGCGTGCAAGTGTGGATTATTGAGCAATGATCTCAATTGCAACAAAAGTGACAAAAAGGAAGAAGACAGTTCTGAAGATTCGGTGAGCTCAGGACGCGGAAGTTCGCAGGATTCCATAAATGCCCTTCCAACGAACACCTCTGACACGGATGCCAACGACCAGGAAGA